AGTGACACGGGCCCTCGTGAGCTTAAATGGTGGGGTCTCGTGCCAAAGATGCCCCGGACGACGATGCGGTGGAGTTCTCTCTCTCCTTTCATCATTGTCACGACGAAATATATTTCCTGTTGTCCCCGGAACTTTCTCGGGAGCTAGAGTTGGCTGGCATCGACCTGTCTAATGTACACTGCGATATCTTGGGGGTGGATATGAGTAATCCCCCCCCCAGCAGAGACGACAGCATCACAACAGCACACCTCCCCGTTGGGTAGCCGACGACGATCTTTGGAGACGTCAGACGCCCAGGTTCTCCTCATCTGCGATGCCGCATACCCAGCATCAAAATAAAACTGCCACCAATGACGATATGGCCCTCCAAAATTCCAATCCAGGTACCGGCACGTCAGCGAGGAGATCGGCCACGATGTCACTGAGGGGAAATACAGCCTGAATGCCTTCATCGGGGTTACTACTCCACACCCAGCGGCAGCCTATGTCCTTTTACCATCGCCAGTCCTTCAAGGATACAGAGCGGCAAGAAGTCCGGGCTATAGTGATCAAGAAACGGGAGAGATGATGGCCAGGGTCCCAATAGCCGATGGGTTACCGACAGTGCGGGATGGCGATATATAGGGAGCCGTGGCCGTGGTTGTGGCATTTGACTTGGGTCTGGACCAAAGGTTACGGGAATTGATCGGATCTGCAACTACGACAAGATGCGCAACTTGCTGGTGGTTCTGCTCTTTGCCAGCCTCGTGGCCGCAGAGGACGGCTTGAACGCTTGGCTACGCTATGCGCCCCTTTCTTGCTCGAGGTCCAGCTACCCGTCACTCCCCAAGGCCATTGTCGCTCTGAACACAACCAAGTCGAGTCCTGTCTATACTGCCGGCCGGGAACTTCAGAAGGGTCTCCAGGGCATCTTCTCGAAACAGGTCCAGGTCTCGGAACAGACGACGAAGGGCTCATCGGTCGTCGTCGGATCGGTTGCCCAGTACACACAGGCCACTGGTAACAAGGACGTCCCTGATCTCGAAGAGGATGGCTACTGGCTCAATATCAAGGGCGACTCGGTACAGATCGTAGGCAAGAACGAGCGCGGTGCTCTCTACGGTGCTTTCGACTACCTGTCAATGTTGGCTCAGGGGAACTTCTCAGACGTGACCAAAGTCAGCAATCCTAGCGCGCCAATACGATGGACCAACGAGTGGGACAACATGGACGGGAGCATCGAGCGAGGATACGCCGGACCCTCCATCTTCTTTGCCAATGGCGGAATCGTAGAGGACCTGACCCGCGTGTCGCAGTACGCCCGCCTCCTGGCCTCCATTGGCATCAACGGTGTCATTGCCAACAACGTCAACGCCAACGTGACGCTTCTGACTCCTCAGAACATTAAGGGACTGGGCAGGATAGCCGATGCAATGAGACCATACGGCGTCAATATCGGCATCTCCCTCAACTTTGCCTCTCCACAAACGTTTGGAGGTCTCAAGACCTTCGACCCGCTTGACGCTTCCGTGATCTCCTTCTGGAACAACATCACTACCCAGATCTACCAGGCAGTTCCTGACTTCGCAGGTTACCTGGTCAAGGCCAACTCCGAAGGTCAGCCCGGACCGATCACATACAACCGCACACTGGCCGATGGTGCCAACCTCTTCGCCAACGCCATCAAGCCGCACGGCGGCATTGTCATGTTCCGGGCCTTTGTGTATGACCAACTTAACGAGTCCAACTGGCGCTCAGACCGCGCCGACGCAGCCGTGGACTACTTCAAACCCCTCGACGGCAAGTTCGACGACAACGTGGTAGTCCAAATAAAGTACGGCCCCATCGACTTCCAAGTCCGCGAGCCCGCGTCCCCCCTCTTCGCCAACATCCCCAATACCAACACCGCCATCGAGCTGCAAATCACGCAGGAATACCTCGGCCAGCAATGCCACCTGGTCTACCTCCCGCCCCTCTGGAGGACCGTCCTCGACTTCGACATGCAAGTCTCCAACCAGCCCTCCCTCGTACGCGACATCGTCTCCGGCGAGCGCTTCAAGCGACCCCTAGGCGGCTATGCCGGTGTAGTCAACGTAGGCACCAACTCCACGTGGCTGGGTAGCCACCTCTCCATGTCGAACCTCTACGCCTACGGCCGTCTAGCCTGGGATCCCACATCCGACCCGCAAGCCATCCTCGAGGACTGGACGCGCCTCACCTTCGGTCAGTCCGCGGGGGTGTTATCCGCCATTACGAGCATGTCCATGGCCTCCTGGCCCGCCTACGAGAACTACACCGGAAACCTCGGCGTGCAGACGCTAACGGACATCCTCTACACGCACTTCGGTCCCAACCCGCAGAGCATGGACAACAACGGCTGGGGGCAATGGACGCGCGCCGACAAGAACGGGATAGGCATGGACCGCACCGTGTCCAACGGCACCGGCTTCGCCGGCCAGTACCCACCCGCCGTAGCCGCGCAGTACGAATCCCTCGACACGACGCCCGACAACCTCCTCCTCTGGTTCCACCACGTCCCCTACACCCACCCCCTCAAAGAAGGCAAGACGGTAATCCAGCACTTCTACGACGCGCACTACGCCGGCGCGGCGACAGCCCAGACCTTCCCCGCCATCTGGGAGGGGCTGAAGGGTAAGATCGACGACCAGCGCTACGAGGAGACGCTCTTCCGCCTGCGGTACCAGGCCGGGCACTCCCTCGTCTGGCGCGACGCCATCAACGATTTCTACCACAACGTCTCCGGCATCGCTGACGCAGCTGGTCGCGTCGGCCACCACCCCTACCGCATCGAGGCGGAGAGCATGGCGATGGAGGGGTACAAGGTCGTCAATGTCACGCCGTTCGAGATGGCGAGCAACTTCAGGGCCGCCGTGACCAGCTCCAACACCACCGCCGGCACGCTTTCCGCCACGGTGCCGTTTGAGAGCGGGCGGTACGACCTGGCGGTGAAATACTACGACGTCATCGGGGGCAGGGCGAAGTGGGAGGTTTATCTCGGTGACAGGCTTGTGGGGAGCTGGAGTGGGGATAACGAGGATAAGCTGGGACATGCGCCGTCGACGATGCTGGATGGGCACTCGGCTACGAGGGTTACGTTTCGGGGTGTGGAGGTGAAGAAGGGGGATACGTTGAGGGTAGTGGGGACGCCGGATGGAGGAGAGGCGGCGCCGGTGGATTATGTTAGTTTCTTATCTGAGGGGGTTGTTGATTGATGTCAAGAGCAGTGAGAAAGTACCGGTAGTGCATGTGGAGGCTGACATCTAATGTACTGTGTTATGCATATTGCAACTTGACGTACCTTGCATAAACGTCCGAGTGTGAATGATAACGGTTTACCGCATAGGGTAGGTCCGGTGTGATGCCTCTTACAAGATTGACGACAGCCAAGCCTTGGACAGCATTCATCATACCATACCTCATCTTCTGCACTCCAGGCTTCCCAAAGTAATGATTTTACTAAATGGTATACCCAAGGCCTTTATCGTCTAATTCCGATCTAATTCATGCTCAGCTGCCGTGCCGTTTACTTTTCTTTCTCGTTAAAGCTTCCAGTGGGCCGACTGCACGATACACATGGCGTGATGTTCTGTTACGCCCGGGAGCTCCCGGCGTTCGTAATTGGTCGCGTGTTAGTTGGACCTCAGGCCACACAAGCTTTCGACTCTTGCTTGTCGCGTGTCGCGATGCGTAAAAGTTTCGGAGCTTATTGATCTCCAAGAATGTTGTGGTCGTATTTATTCAAATACCATGGTTCCCCGGAAGTTTTCTAGTCGGAAGGACTGACTGTCTTGAGTGTTCATTTCATCTTCCTTGACTTACACGTCCTTGCATCCGCCAACACGGACGGCATCGAAAACACCATCACAGTAGCAGTAGCAGCCATGTCTTCCTCACAAAGACCAATGCAGCACATAGATCGCAAAGAGCTCTACACCAACCTCGAGGCGCGCATACGCTACCTCCACTCCTTTCTCGACTTCAGCAGCAGTCCGTTCCTCCCCGGGCCTCCTCTTCCCCCCGACCTCCCCCCGCTTACTAACAGGCCCTGTGTAGAAGACATAGAAGCCCTAACCTACGGCGCCAAGTACATCAAAGCCCTCATCCCGGCGGTGGTGAACATCCTCTACAAAAAGCTCCTGCAGTACGACATAACCGCGCGCGCCTTCCAGACGCGGTCGACCTCCTACGAGGGGCCCATGGACTCCCTCCCCCACGAGGACAGTCCGCAGATCCACCACCGCAAGTTATTCCTCCGGGCCTACCTCGTCAAGCTGTGCAGCGACCCGAGAGAGCTGGAGTTCTGGGAGTACCTCGACAAGGTGGGGATGATGCACGTCGGGCTGGGGAGGACGCACCCGCTGCACGTGGAGTATGTGCATATCGGGGCAGCGCTGGCGGTCATCCAGGATGTCTTGGCGGAGGCGATACTGAGTCACCCCAAGATGAGGCTGGAGCGGAAGATCGGGGTGGTGAAGGCACTGGGGAAGGTGATTTGGATACAGAACGATCTTTTTGCGAAGTGGTATGTGAACGACGGGGAGGAGTTTACGGATGGGGTTGATTATGGGGGGATTATTGAGAAGGAGGGGTGGTTGCATGGGAAGAAGGTGCTGAGGGAGGATAGGCTTGACGGGGAAGATGCGGGGGAGGGGGAGAAGGAGGAGGTGGGTGGTGAGAAGACGCCGAAGAGGAGACAGTCCAGGGATGATGATGGGGAGAGTACGACGCCGACGAGGATGGAGGGGGTGTGTCCGTTCTCTGGGATGTCGGCGGCGACGGCGGGGATGAGTGAGTTGAAAGTTGCGGAGTAACCCGCAACTGCGGGCTATAATTGATATGTTAGCTGGATGTACCCCCCTTGTATTCTTCCCGGGCAGCCCCGACCTCGTCGCCGAGTCAAGTCCCGTCCGCAGATCTCTCATGATCCACCTCCCTCCCTCCCTCTCGCACATAATCCCTCTCCCATTGCCGGAAATCTCATCCAGACTATCACTGACTCAGGGGGTGTAGCTCATCTGATAGAGCGCCTGCTTTGCATTCGAGTTTTTCAGCCCTCCGAAAGCTGGTTCCGCACCCCTCATGCACTTGCAGGAGGCACAGGGTTCGACTCCCTGCTCCTCCACGGGGTTTCCTTTCCTTTCATCATATAGGGGATGTAGCTCATCTGGTAGAGCGCGTGCTTAGCATTACCCCATCCCATACTCGGCGACGAGGGGGATGTATGTAAAATGTTCATGCACGAGGTACTGGGTTCGACTCCCAGCTTCTCCAAAGACCCGGCATCCGGACAGTTCTTTATTTTTGTTCCTCTAGGCGGGTGTGAACGACGGACTCAAGATTTGTTGCCGTGGGTTGGCCGGACAGAGGTGGGTGGATGAGGAAGAAATCGCCCAATAGGACATGAAACATCCACCGCGCCAGTGGTTTGGTGGTAAAATCCATCGTTGCCTTTCATATCCGGGTCTCAGTGACTCGACATGACTTCCTCGATGGGCCCCGCGTTCGATTCGCGGCTGGCGCAATGCTTTTTTGACGGGTTGTGCTTGTTCTCTTCTTTTGCCCTCCCGTAATGCGCTGTAAAGATGTGACCACCGCAGCCCTCAGACATCAGAGTCAGGGGTGGTCCTCCTCGTCGTCCTCGAGTCTGGGGTGGGCCTTCTCGAAGTCGGCAATGTAATCTTGGAGGTCCTTGCCAAATATGCCCACATGCTCGGCGAACGCCTTGCAGTCATCCAGAACATAATGTCCGCTCATGTACGTCGTGTCTTCAGCCATTCCCTCCTCCTCTAGAAGGTTGTCCGTCACCTCGAGCATCGCCTTCTCCGATGGCGGTGATACGCCCGCATCACTCAGCGCGTAGGCCGTGTCAAAGCATCCGGCATTGAGACTCAGTCTCAGCGACTCGTCGAGGCAGCCGGCCGCAGCGCATTCTTCCGGGTGATGGGCCAGAACATCGTCAAACGCTTTTGCTTCCTCGACGTGCTGAGCAAAATGTTGAAGCGCGCATTGTCCTCGGAGATTCTTTTGGCCTACACTGCACCCATTGTCGAGCAGCAAACGCACGACACGCGCCATCTGGATGGACGTGTTCAAGTCATGGTCGGTCCTAGCCGGCAGGCTTTGCAGGCTTTGAGAGCTGTAGGACCATATGAGATACGGGCGGACGCTCCATTGGAGGGCGTTCTGCCCGCCTTCGTCGACAGCATTGACATCGGCCCCGTGCTTGAGAAGCAGGTTGATGGTTTCAGGATACGGGGCATACCATGCGGCCAGCATAAGGGGAGTGACGCCGTTGAGGTGGGCGAGGCTTGATCGCGAGTTTGGATCGGCCCCTCGTGCCAGGAGCGCCTTGAGCAACCTCAGCCTGGAGGGATCCTCCTCGTTCTCGACTTCTTCGTCAGAGAAGAAAGCGCAGTGGAGCGGGTAAAAACCGCGGCATGGGGCGGTGGCGTCGGCCCCGGCCTCCAGCAGAAGCAGCGCCGCTTCGTACTCGCCTGCCGCAATGGTATTATGAAGCGGCAAAGCCGACATAGCCGGTGTTCCTAGCCTGACTCCAAAGATTGAGGCGTTCGAGCAATATGACTCGATTGTTAAATCAGGCTTCGCCTGTAGCAAGGCACGCAGAGTCGGCAGGTGGCTACGATACCCAGGCCCGCGCAGGGTGACCAGCAGCTCATTGTGAGTACTGAGGGTGTTGACGTCGTAACGGCCTGACCGAAGAAGCAAATTGACTACTTCGTCATGACCGTGATGCACGGCAATGTGCAGCCCCTGGTCTTGAGGTCCATTAACAGCCGCCCTGTCCTGGGTGCCGGTAGCTCTCTCGAGCAACAGTGCCACGGAAGAGAGTTGCCTGCGACAAACGGCCATCTCCAGTGGCGTCCACGCTATCGGCCCTAGCATAATGGACTCGTACCGGTGGGCAGTCCCGGCGCAAGGATTCACGCCGTGGCTCGCATCGTTGATGACGGCGCCGTGATCGAGCAGCCAGGGAATGATGTGATCGAGGCCCATCGAGCAGGCGACATGCAGAAGGGAGAAACTGATGGGAATCTTGCCTGTGGGACCCGGAATGAAGTCCTTTCTGTTGCAGTTACCTAGAATATCGTGGTCTAGAATCCATCCAGCATTACGCTCCTTCCCCCAATGCTGGGTGATGGACAGGCCATGCTGATAGAGACTCCGTAACAGACCCAGGCGACCGTGGTTGACGGCCCAGAGGGCAGCCCGTCCACTGTTTTAGCTGATCTCACTCCTTACAGGACCAGGTACAACCTGTCGTAGAGGTTATTGTTGCACCGAATAAGGCTGGCAAGATGTTTGATACCGCAAGCTGACCCGATATTTTGAACGAGTTCGTTTGGCAATTGCTCGAGTTGGGAACGACGGTGACTCGCCGCCATCTTGAACGAAAGGTCACCATGTGGCAGAGAGGAGAAAAAGAAAAAAAAAAAGGGAAGGGGGACCTGGGAGCTTTAATCATATGTGCTTCACTTACATGTGAGGTAAGCTGGAGGTGTAGTCACATGACCAGTTTCCACTCTATCCAATTCGAACTTGGAGGCTGGAAGTTCAGCTCGCCTGACCCTAACCCTCACCATGAGCATACCTCTCCACAAATTCTCTATAAAACTCCTCCTCACCAAATCTTTCCTTTCCCCTTTCCTCTTCTCTTTTTTTCCCCTAAGAAAAAAGAACCCAGAGTCCGCCACGACCGTCATCGAGATCTCCCGACGATGTCGAGTTGCTAGATCCTCTTCGGAGGATAGAGACTCTGGAAATTATCGTGTATCGATTTAAACCCTTGATAGGAAGTCTTTCACCTTGATGATGTCCCGTGCGGCATCGCCCTGTGGGTGAGAGATGCTGATAGATTGGGCACATTTTATTGCTTTTACGTGATATATAGCTGCTCTGTAAGGTGTGCAGGTGGGAGGAGTCATGCGTGTTTCCTGCTGCGTACCCGATGTAATGCAGTTTCGGTTTTGTAGATGCACAGGTCTGCATATCGCATGCTTGACAAGCGTGCTGTTTGCTAGCTGCCAGCTCGCATTGGCTTGCCATGGAAGGCCTAATCCGGTCTGTTAATCTGCTCATAAGCCCACCAGAGAGCTGGACCTGACAGGTTCATATATAAATATAAAAACCTACGCATTCCGTTCAATTATAGCACCAGCACCATCATGACGGCCGCATGGTGTTGAAGAGTTCACATTGTTCCGCCTGTCGGCCCGCTGCAAGAGCAGACCCACATCGCCGAGAGCGGCCCCGAAACTTTTGGGTTTGGGCCCGCATTTGACGACGAGCCATCCATCACTCACATACAACTCCGCCCATTTGACATTGAACCACTCTCAAGACTTTCGGAACACCATAACAAAACACCTTTCCACACAGATCCTATTTCCAATCCCTGTGCCCTAAATCCAAGACAAGATGTCCCCCACCTGCAAAATAACAGTCCTAGCCTCAGGCAACGGCTCCAACTTCCAAGCCCTCATCGACGCCGTCGCCTCCGGCACCATCCCCTCCTCCCAGATCGTCCGGCTGTACGTCAACCGCTCGAAAGCCTTCGCCACCACGCGTGCGGAGAAGGCGGGGATACCGTGGGAGTACTTCAACCTCATCAGCAACGGGTTCCAGGCCAAGGGGGAGAAGGACACCGCCAAACTCCAAGAGGCACGGGATGCCTACGACGCTGCGCTTGCGGAGAGGGTATTGAGAGGAGACAAAAAGCCGGATCTGGTCGTGCTGGCGGGGTGGATGTATGTTTTTGGAACGGCGTTTTTGGATCCCTTGGAGAGGGAGGGGGTGAGGATTATTAATTTGCATCCTGCGCTGCCTGGTAAGTGTAGACAGGGAAATGGGGAGGGAAAAGGGAATGTGGCTAACGGGATGCATTAGGTGCGTATGATGGTGCCCACGCTATCGAGAGGGCGTACAACGACTTTAAGGAGGGTAAGCTGAAGGATGATATGACGGGCATCATGGTGCATAACGTCATCAGCCAGGTGGACAGGGGCGAGCCCATCTTGGTGAGGGAGATCAAGTGCCGGCCTGACGAGACGCTGGAGCAGCTGGAGACGAGGATACATAGCTACGAGCACGAGCTGATCGTCGAGGCCACGGCCAAGGTGGCGAGGGAGATTGTGGCCAGGAAGAGCGCGGCATGAGCTGGGATGATGGATATCCCCGGCAGCGGGGCGGGGACGGGCTCTGACGAGGGATGTGTTCTGAGCGAGGGCTGCCTAGAGTAGACAATGTCACCTAGGGAAGTCCTCGATATCTGCGGTCAAGTCCAGCCTTGGCATGTGATTCACTTAGCTCTGCAGTCTTGTTAAAGGCACGATATGTCAAGGTAAAAAACGACAGTCTATTCCAAAGGAGCTAGCCCATGAACGCCAAACACCAAAACCGCACAAGCTAACATATCTACAGATCACCTTCAATCACAAGTTTGCCCACCACACTCACGGCATCCTGTCCCCAACATACGCATGCTCCCCGCCCACACTAACAACCCACACCTTCGGATCCCCGGCATTCACCTTGCCGCTCTGATCCTTCCCCCCATCAGGCTGCACGTCGTCGTACGCGAACGCATACCCCTTCCCGTCGAGATTGACCTCGTGCACGGCCCTCGCGTAGTGATTCGTCGGGTCCCTCCTATAGTACGTCTCGCACCCGCTCGGCTGGTCCGCCACCTCGCCGATGGTAGACCTCAGAAACCCCGCCGCGAGCCGGGGGATGATGGCGTTGCGCTTTGCGCTAGGGCCGGTGGTGAAAGGGCCGCTGTTGCAGCCCAGGATGTCGGCGGTGGTGGGTTTTGCGAAGGCCTCCCCCGCAACGACGAGGGTGTTGTTGGCCGGGTTGACGGAGCCGGACACGATGCCCGGCGCGGCCTGGGTGTTGATGTGGATCTGGCGCTTGCCGATTTGGGCGTGGTATTGCCGCCAGACCTCCTCGACGTAGGGCTCGTAGTAGCCCGCGAAGGAGGCGCCTACGGCGTCGCCGTGGGTGGGGTTGAGACAGCGGAGGGGCGGTTGGTTCGGGCTTGGGCCAGGGACGATGAGCTTGTCCCAGGGCCGGTGGTCCTTTTGCGCTTGGGCGCGGAGGGCAGAGCAGAGCTTGTCGAGGCCGTTGGCCGGCATGCCGGAGACGTGCTGGACTGCTCCCGTCGCGGTCTGGAGGGTCAGGGCGACGGGGAGGCGGGGCACGAAGTCGACGTAACTGATGTTGGCGAAGAGCTGGTCGTTGTTGAGGGTGAATTCTGCGAAGGCGAAGTCGACCTTGGCGTTGGGGTCGGCAGGGTTGAGGACGGAGGGTTCGACGAGGGACGGGCCGGGGTTGAGGAGGAAGGTGAGCTTGGCGTCGCGGGCGAACCAGATGCGGCCGCCGGCCATTTGGGGGATGTGAATTGATTTCTTGGAGCCGGGGGGTCCGAGGGGGATGGCGACGTCTTCGGTTAGGGGGGACATGATTTCGGCCGGGGAGGAGGGGAAGTACAGGTCTCGGCCGTTG